TTTCTGAAATTTTATAAGTTTAGGCTTTCGCTTCTTAAAGAAAAAAATGCAACAATCAAAAATTTACATAAAAATAAACGAACTGAAAATTTTAAAAGTTATGTTCTTTTTTCGAATGACAATGTTTGCTATTGAATTGTTATTGTTAAAGTTGGTGTTAAAATTTACTTATACTTCAAAGTAAAAATTACTATAAAATAAAAACCTACTTTCAAAGAAAAAGTAATATTTGCTAATTACCAAAAATTAATTATTTTCTTAGAAATAAATTTGGTAGAAAAGAAAAAAAAAAAAAATTTTTTAAAGACATGGGAGTTATTGCCTCTTCTGTCTTCCTTTTCTTTCTTTTTCTCACTGAAACCAAGTAGTGTCTCTAATATATCTTTATGAAGTATTGGCAAGTCGTAAAAAAGGTTTGGACCCTTTTCCATTTCAATGAAACAGATGTTATTGCCTCTTCTGTCTTCCCTTTTTTGGGGGGGGGTTGTTTTTTTTTTTTTTTTTTCCTGAAACCAAATAGCACCTCTTATATGTATTTTCTGGCTTTTCTCATATTAGACTACAATCTTTTTTATGTATCTGTATAAAGATTTAATTAAAATAAATTTCTATCTTTTTTTCCAGATATTTTGGGAGCTTGATAAAAGTCTTAAGATCACCTGGATGATACATGCTGAGGAGAGTAGTTTCTCATTTCGTGTCTGCCTTAAAGTCACTCAGAATGTCAGAGGCATTATCTGTAAAAGAGGTGAGGTTGTTTTATTTCCATATCTTGTAAAGAGATCTTTGTTTAACCTGGAACCAGAACAAAAAATCAGGATTAACCAGCAGAGAATTGTTAATACACAAGTTAAAGGTCAAGGATTAACAGAGATTTATAGTTGGTTATTTATCATGTGACTGATGAATCAAAATTAAAAACATAGTTACTTTGCATATTCTTTTATTCTTGCTCTCCTGTTCAAAAACAGATCTATGGGTGGTGTAATGGATAGTGGCTCAAAATAAGAAATCTAAGAACAGAGTTCAAATTCTAGTCATGTTCGTTATATTCCCTTGTATGCAAATACCCTTGAGAAATCCAATTCTTCGTCTCTGCTATGGGTTAAATAGTAGGACATGTGTTCAGAAAAATCATTGTTATTCTCAAAACAAAAGAAAAATAATCAAACAACAGAGTTCAAATTCTAGTAATAAAAAAAAATAATAAATAGTAATCTATGATTCACGGAACGAAATAACAGAAGTCTGAATTAAATTTAATCTCCATCAGGAAGTTTTGATCTAAGAGAAGTTAATCTGGGGCGATCCTAATATTTTTTTCTTTTCATCAATTCACCGCAAGCAAGGTGATAATGCCATGAAGACACAAAGGGCTACTGGAAGTGAAAGAGAAGGAAAAGACTTTAAAAGGAACAGTAGTAAAATAATAGTATAAATTTCAGAGTTTAGGTGGAGACATTAGAAGTATATAGTTGAGGTAAACAGGGAACAGAAACCCAATCCTCAACAGGAAACAAGGTATAAACCTCTACTCCTGTTCAAAAGACCAGAGAGGAGTGTGAACCGGGTGATAGGCAAAATATCATCTACTACTCCTATTAAATATTTATTTGTAAAAAAAAAAAAATGTTGAATTTTTCAAAAATCATGTTTTCAAAATATATATATATATATATATATATATATATATATATATATATATATATATATATATATATATAAGCAAGTGTAAATGGATATAAATTTATAAATATATAAATATATTCTTCATATATATATATATATATATATATATATATATACACACACACACACACAGGGTATACCACAAAAATTGACATCATTTAAAATGTGAATATCTGAGTAACTACATGCCCCAGACAAACAAAATTAAACAGGCTTCATGTTGAACAATACAAGATATTCAAATGGGTAGAGATTCCAGATAACCAATTTCACAAAATGCACATCACATGTGGCACAACATGTGTCATGTTGGTAGTCCAGCTTGTGCCAAACACGCTTTAGCATGTCTTGCATAACATTCTCCGGTGCCAAAGTGTCATACATGGAATCTTACAGACTTTCTGTGGCATTGCACAAATGTTTTCCCCAAACCTGATTGATGATATCTTCCAATACTGGTGGTCATCAAGATCCCTTTGCCCTGCACAGACAACCATACTCTTTGAATTTTTTGTGCCATGCCCAAATCTGCTTTCCAGTTGGTTCATTTTTCTTGAATTTTCTTGAAACTGCATCCTGCACACTCTTGTTTGCCTGTGTTTGAGCATATTCTAATACACAAAATGCCTTTTTCGTTTCTAATGAATGTCATTCTTCACCTTGACAAAAAGAAAAAAAAATGAAACATTCAACTTAGTTTTATACATATTGTTTAAAATTTGAGATTATTTGAGTGATAATTGGCTATGTCATTAGACTACAAAATGATGGCAATTTTTTTTGGGGGGGCACACACACACACACACACACACACATATATATATATATATATATACTGTGTTCACCATAAGATATACTAAAATAAGCTTTGTATTCAGTGTCACCTCAGACATTAAGAAAGCTAGGTGTCTTTAGAAGGTTAACCTCCAAGGTAACCTCACATCCACCAAGTGCAGAGTCGGACCTCAAATGATGTCAAATGGCACACCAACATAATCGTAAAGTGAACTAAGCTGAAAAGCTGAACATAGGATATACACACACAAGGCAGCCAGGGGACAGGAAATGATGAAGTTGATTTGTTTTTTATGGCTTATCAACTCTTTGTGGGTTATTTAAAGACAGGACATTTTTTGGATTGTAAAAAAACATTTTTTTTCTTTATGCGAATAAATATTGCATTAACAATTTTTGGTTTCTCCAGATACACGTCTTACTATTTAACCCATAGCTGGGAGGAGAAGAGATAGATTCATACTTTTTACATAATTGTATGTAACATACTAGATTGGCATTTGAACTCATCTAATTTCTCATTCCAAGATGCTATCCATTACACCACCTGCACATCCCCTTGTAAGAAGATTGGATGTCTAAAGAAAGACCTTGTCATTGATTGGTAGATGTTAATTTGACAGAATCCAGAAGTGAATAAACGTTTTATGTATAAAAAAGTATCATATCACAGTTGTATATTTTTTTTCCTTAATTGCAGATTGATGCCAATGAAGGTGTGACCAAAATGAACAAAAAGAGAACGGCAAAGAATCAAGCTTCAAATGTTCCAACCAAAAAATTCAAGGTAATTTTTATCCAGATGTCCTTCCTTAATACAAATTGTACTTTTTGAATAAGGGTTCAGCAACTCTCATGGTCTAGGGCAGTGGTTCTCAACCGGGGTCTACATGGACCCTAGGGGTCCATGTAATATTTCCGGGGGTCCACAGGGAAAACTCAATTGTTGTGTTAATTAAAAATAGTAATAATAATTATTATTATAATTATAGTAGAATATTTTATTTGTATTAAATTAGTTTTCATTTAAAAATAAAGCTTAATCATATACTATTTCTTTGATAATTAAAACCTTAAAATTTATATTAGTGAAGAATAGAAAATTGTTCTTATGTCCAATAGCTATGAAGGGGTCCACCAAGATAAAAAGAAGGGGAAAGGGGTCCATGGGTAAAAAAAGGTTGAGATCCACTGGTCTAGGGTCTGCTGGCCTTGATGTCATTTGAAACTGAATTTGACAAATTTCACTATTAAATTTTGTTCATTTTTTATGTGCCAAATCATTTCAAATTAACTTAATTATGCATAGATAAAGGTTTTACAATATAAAAGCATTACAATTTGCCTTAGAAATGTTTCTGTAATGGTTTTACTACATAATAACATTACTAATTGTCTTAAAAATGCATTGCTAATGGTTTTATTATAGAAAAGCATTTCTAATTCTCTTAGAAATGCATTGGTAATGGTTTTACTATATAAAAGCATTACAATTTGTCATAATTTGAAAATGCTTTTCAAATTATATAGATACTTATTTTAAAAGGCACTCTTGCATCTAATGAGTAAATATTTTGTCGTCGCAGTAATAATATTTAAAAAGATTAACCTGTTACCCATCTCCACCACCACTCATATTGCATATGTTAAGATAAAAATTTGGTAAGCATTTCTTTTTCTTTCTTCAGGACGATAGTCATCATCCTCCAGGTCGAGCTGATCGCAAGCGTAAAGTCGCTTTATTGATGGCCTATTCAGGAGAAGGTTACTATGGAATCCAAGTGTAAGTTGATACATGGATACAATTTATCCCTCCTCAATCGTCAGAATTCCTTCAATAATTTTCTGTCATATTTTTTTTTTTTTTTTTTTCAATTTTCAGTTTACGGCCATGTGATACTATAAATACAGTATGGGAAGAGGTTTTATCTTGATTGCAAGTGTTTGTTTGATAGACCAGTAGAGGGTTCCTTTTGAAGTTTGGTCATCTAAGTGACATCCACTTTAACTAAAGGGGAAAAGTAATGGGATGGATGAGGGAATTTTAGACATCAAGTGGCAGTAAAACCGGAAATAGGGTATATCCAGGTGCTGGTCTATATTAACAGTTATGCATGGGTTTAGGTGGATTTCTGGTCTGCCCTTCATGGGAGATGGACTTGTTTCTTGTACTGTTCTAAAGCCTTCATTTCATATTGCCAGCTACCCTATCAGGATGAGTAAATGGGCAATGAATTGGTATGAGGAAGATCTGATGTGGCAGATGTTGTCCCAAGTATCACCTACCTACCTACCCACCTTGATGAGCAGGTCAAGCCCTGAATAAAACACCGACATATAACATGGAAAATAGGGCTTGCATTCTTATTCCTTGATATGGTATTTTTCTTTCATTGTGTAACCATGTGAGCATGCAATGTGGACTTTTCCAGCTTTTTGTGCACACTGACAAGATTTGAGGATTGTAGGAGTGATCCTTGGCCAGCTGATGGAGAGTGACGGGCGCATTAAATGATTGCAACTATATCACTTTGAAACACCAGTTCTCATACGATCACCGAAGTTAAGAAATGCAAAGACTTGTCAGTACGTAGGCGGGTGACCACTTGGGAATACCAAGTGCTGTAAGTTTGAATGTGCAGGTGGTGTAATGGATAGTGTCTTGGAATTGGAAATTGGAGAGCCAAGCTTTGATTTGAGTTGGGCAAATTATATTTACTTACACACAAATACTCTTGGGAAAGGTATGAAACTACCTCTTCTCCCCCTAGTTATGGGTTAATTAATAGGACAGTAGATGATGAAATTTTGGTTTCCTTGTTATTTGTTTATTTCTCTTATTTCCTGGTTGTGAAAGCTTTCTCATTAGTTGGTTGAAATATGGCATTTTGGCTTGACAATTCTGATTATCCATCAATTTTTAGAGCTAGTGAAATTTTGGTTGTCTTATTTATTTTTATTTATTTCTGTATCACCACATATCCACCTCTTCTTCCCCCAGCTATGGGTTAATTATTAGGCCCTGTATCAGTAAATAATTATTATATTCAAAATATTTCTTAGAATCAGAAATATATTCTGCTTTTAAATTATCTGCAGATGGTTGGTAAGCCATAGAAAATGAACGAATCAATCAATCAAATACTGATTAGCTACACAGGCATGTCTTTTAGATTTCTTTACATTCTCTGGAATATAAATGTATGGAAACTACCATGGCCACAATGTGAGGAATCAGTTTATATATTGATTGTAATCTATAATCGATCCCCCAATTTATATCTATATTATATATCCACCTCTTCTCCTCTCAGCTAAGACTTGTATTATTAAACTATTATATCTAAAAAAAAAAAAAAAAAAGTCATTCTTACAATCTAAAAGTGTTTTCTGGCTTTAAATAACCTGTAAAGGGTTGATAAGCTGAAAAAAGACAAACCCATCAGATTTTCTCTCTTCATATTGCCAACCATTGAAGTTGTACTTTCCTTTCATCCCTTTCTATTATGTCCTTTTCTTTTGTGCATTAATTAAATTTTGAGTCAATCATTTCTTTTCTTTCTTTCAGAAATTCCACTTTCCCAACAATTGAAAGTGAACTCTTCAAAGCTTTAGTCAAAGTTGGACTTGTACCACAAGACCATGTTGATTCTCTTCACAAGGTAAAATTTTGCAACTTTGTATTTTGGCTTCATTTTAAAATATTTTAAAATTTAATGATTGTGATTAAACCAACATCAAAACAATAACAAAAGCTTTACTTAATGGCTATAACAAAAAGTAAAGCAAAGTAGCTTAACCAGTTTGTCATTCCTCTCTCATCATAGCTCAATTGAGGACCAGAACTGTGGAATCACTGTGCAAGAAATGTGTAATCAACAACCAAGGAGACTGGTTGTTTGTCATTCCTCTCTCATCAGAGCTCAATCGAGGACAAAAAAATGTACCATTAACAACCCCAGAGACTGATGTTATATAATAAATTTATAAACATCAAAGGATAATTTTATTAAAAGAAAAGCTACAGATAGTTATTAGCAATTTTATGGAAATTACTGCATAAATGTTGTTTAGGTTCAAAATTGTTCACACCACCTTGTGAGGGATGTTTTATTTTCCACTCTGCAACCTCTTTCCCACAGACATAATGTTGCAAACCTACCACTATTTGTTCCTATTTCCAATGCAAATGTTCAGATGAGCTCTTCTTTATTTTCACCAGTTCAAACTATTAAAGTTAGGACATGCCATGATACTTCCACAGAGTCAAATCACCCTTATTTCCTCCATATTTCAAATATAAGAAGAATCTTCTATTCAGGTGTTTTCCAAAAAAAAAAACACTACTTTTTGGAACAGATTCCTGCATGGTTGCTTCCCCAAATACTTGAACTTTTAAAGTCAAAGGTCAATCATTATCTATCCTCCTTATCCTCATAATCTTCACTTCCTACACTCTCCTCTTTCATTCCTATTACACACACCATTCATCATAACCATTTTGACCATAACCCTCTACACTATAATATAAACCCCATCAAGTCAAGGCTCAATCATTATCTATCCTCTTTATCCTCATAATCTTCACTTCCTGCCACCTCCTCTTCCATTCATATCACACACCTCAGTCATCATAAGCATTTCGACAGTAATCTTCTACTCTGCTATCTTGACCGTTTCAAGTCAAAGGTCAATCGTTATCTATCCTCCTTATCCTCATAATCTTTACTTCCTACCACCTCCTCTTCCATTCATATCACACCTCATTCATCTTAATCATTTTGACAGTAACCCTCTAACTCGAGTGGCTTTTGAGCCTTGTAGTGTGTGAACTTTAATATTAAAAATAAAAAACTTGTGAAGAATTTTTTTTTAATTTGTTTCATTTATTTTATTTCCAGATGTCATTCCAACGTGCTGCACGTACAGACAAAGGTGTGTCTGCTATTGGACAAGTCGTATCTTTAAAGATAAGTATCCATCGATTGTGGAGGTGTGGATGGCATAATGGTTAACGAGATGGAAAAAGGAATCAATGAGCTATTATGTTGAGTCATGAATAATTTACATTTTTGTTTTAGTTTTCAAAAAATAAACTACAATTGCCCTGTTGTTGTTTTTTAATCATCAAGCAAGGCAATAAAGCCACTAAGACATAAGAGATGTTAGAGAAATATGAGAAAAGAAAAACTACTATTAAGAAGACAAGATAATGATTGTGATTGACATTGCATTTAAATTTTTGAAGATCAAATTTGAGAAGCAAGAGGCTGGAAAAAAGTTCAACGAGAAGTGTAATAGAAGAAACTGTTAGCATAAAACTTAGTGTTACATTTCAACTGTACAATGGTGAGACCTAGCTGCCAATCTAGTACTGTACTTAACCTTTAACATGCTGCATTATTCACTCCCTTCTTTTCCACTGCATTGTTTTTCAAGGCTCCTCTACTGCACTACTTAATTTCAGTCATGCTCATTTTCTGTTGCCATAGCAAGATATGACAACACAACTGCAAAATTCTAACACAATATCATTCATTTGTCTGAGTCACTTGCAGTGGCAGGATAATGTTAACGGTTAAATTCATAAAGTCATTTTTCTTTGCAATGACTTGTTGCCACTTATCAGCCAGATTTTTTGAGTAAAATTCCACAGATTTGAATGTGAAAAAGTTTTTGACAAAAGCTTTAACCTGGTTTTTATTAGCGGAACATTTTCCTGTCAAAGCATTTTGTGGCAATCAAAAAAAGGTAATAATTGGTAGGTACAAGGTCAAGTGAAAATGGTAGATAGTGTAGAATCCATCATCCAAGTTACAAAGTTTTTCCATGTGTTGTTCTTACTGTATGTGGCCTTGGATGGGCATGGAGAACGCCATTTTTAATACTGATGAGCACAGTGTGTGTGTGTGTGTGTGTGTGTGTGTGTGTGTGTGTGTGAGAGAGAGAGAGAGTGTGTGTGTTCAAAGTGAATTGTCGCAATTGAGGGCCCAAATTATTCCTTAAAATCTGAACAAATGGTCATATAGAATTTCGTCAAATGGCTTTTTAGTTGAGCCGAGAACTTTTCAGCTCCATTTTGTACATACATATTTGGTTGAATCATAAATAATTTCCGTTTTTGTCAATTTTATTCTTCACAACATAAGTACACTTACATTTTATTTAGTTGTATATTCACCATTAATTGCAATGACTTGTTGCCACTTATCAACCAGCCCTTCGCTATCTTTTGAATAACTCAGTCCAATCTGACATGGAGAATGTGGAAAAATCCTTTTTTCTGTTCTGTTCCATTTTATTCCATTCTTTATTCACCATTATTTGTAATGAGTTGTTGCCACTTATAAGGCAGCTCTTTGGTAGTATTTGAATAAAATTCCGCAGATCATATGATCAACAAACTTAATCAATGTCAAACCTGATCAGTACCTAGATGGATAACTATTTGCTAATATCAGGTGTTGTAAGCTTGGATATGTGGACAGTGTAATCGATAATGGCTCAGAATGAGAAATCAGAGAGGTGAGTTCCAACTCCAGTCTGGTTCCCTTACATTCACTTATGTGCAAATGCCATTGGGAAAGGTATGAATCCACCTTTTCTCCCCACCAATCTATCAGTTAATTAGTAGGACTTTTATCAGCAAATCATTATCTCCCCACAAAATTCTAACAATTTAAAATATTTTCTAGTTTTAAAATAACTTCTAGAAGGTTAATGAGTCATAAAAAAAATATCAGTCAGTTTTCAAAATTTATAGTTTAGTTTTGTTTGGGATTTGCATGGCAGACTGTAGACTAGTGCCTTGATTGAACCTGACGAGTTGGATGTGGTAGCCTCCTTCTGCTACTTGGGGTCATGCTCTCTGCTGTAGGTAGTTGCAACCTTGCAACTATAATACTGTTAAAAATGCCTGGTGGAAGTTCAACTGCTCTTGGTTCTCTCTTCTCAACACCTCTCACCCAGGACATGCAACCGCGTTTGCAGCACTTCAGTTTGGAGTATCATGCTCCATGCAAATGAAATCAGGCCAAGCCTTCAGTGCTTGCAGTGTAATGACAGGGCCATGATCAGACAAATCTGTAAAATTAATCCAGACGATGTGACCACATGAGTTGTTGGCATGGCTTGGTTGTAAGGATCTAGACCTGATTCTGAGAGAGGGAGGTTTTGCTGGTATGGAAATGTGGAACATTCCAGTAGGGCTATCAGGTGTGTCCGTGATATTTAGGTTAAAGGAAAGCAAGTGCCTGGGAGGCCCAAGATGTTATGGAGGCGGCTGACAGAACATGATCACAGAGAGTGGAAGTTCTCTGTAGTCAACACTCATGACAGATGCATTTGGAGATCTGTGAGAACTACCATGTGTGCAGCTAGTCAGTTACCTGATGTAGACAATGCACCTGCATGATAAACAAAAATAACCGATGAGAAGATATATTGGAGAAAGAAATGACAGTTTAACCTGGCTTCATGTTATAGATTGGATTTCATTCTAAAGTGATTTTCAAAATATTTTGCACCTGCTTTATATTTTTTTTTTTTTTTTTTTTTTACATGCTCTTGAATGTGGACAACCTTGTTGATCAGCTTAATAGCACTCTACCTCCACAGATCAAAGTCTT